GTTACATGTACTTCACAAATAAATTTTCTTCAGGTAAATCTGATTTAGTGAAACTATCTGCAAAGTTCCCTGTTTACATGTCTATAGTGAAGCTCCTTTGTACAGGTGCAGTGCTGCCTGCTTCTCACGCATTGTGCTTTAAGTCTGTTGTGAAGAGATCACCCAGGCTCTGTCGTCTTCTGTCCTTAGTTTTTCTACCATGGATTGCCTACAAGGTATGTAAAAGTGGTGGAGGTAGTTGCTGCTTCTGTGACACAAGAAATGCACTAAGATCACTTCTACACAGGGTATTAAGTTCTTGTTTTATCTCTCAAGTACTATTGATTTGTTTCAGGTCAAACCAATAACCTATGCATTGAGCCCTGAATCTACAAAAGGACTTGTGGTCTAAAGCGCCTCACAGGAACAACATTGAGTAAATCAGCTAGGCTCCCTATACAATGAATGGGGAGAAATGAGCGCCTTAAGACTGCAATCCATAAAGTCAGCCCCGGAGGCAGGACCAGAGGAGATGCTTATGATAGGTGTGTGTCCTAAACCTTTCCTCTCATGCAGGTAGGCACTAAGTCCAGGCTGCAGGGAGCACCTCTCCCTGTTTAGCAATCCACGGATGGGAACTACTTGCCTGGAGTCAGATGGCTTAGACTCTTAAGTAGTTTCATGCAGGAATTAAGTTAGGTGCTTGCCTTGCAAAATCACAGAGGGGGACTTGGTGGTGCCCGCTTTCACACACTCTGGCCCAATACCTATAAGTGAGTGGGAACTGATTCCTTTATCGTTATAAAGTAGCAGTCATCCTCCTTCCCCCCAATCACTCCTTCACTGTTCATCCACAGTGGGACAGCTTAAACAGCAGAGACTGTGGGAGCCCTACCTTGGAATATTCACTAGCCCAGTGGTTAAAGCACTCTCCTGCAGGGGTATGGGTGGTGGGTATAATGGGCCAGGGAAGGCTTGGCCTGGGCTGTGGTGGCCCCACCCCTTCCCTGAGGCCCCTGCTGCTGCCTGCCTGCCATGTCTCCTCCACCCCCACCCCTCGCGGAGGTCCCTGCTGCTTGCTGCGTCCTACCTCCTGGGCAGGGCCGGCTCCAGGCACCAGCTTGTCAAGCAGGTTCTTGGGGCGGCTGCTCCGGAGAGGGGCGGCACGTCCAGGTATTCGGCGGCAATTCGGCGGACGGTCCCTCACTCCGCCTTGGAGCAAAGGACCTCCCGCTGAATTGGCGCCACAGATTGCGATCGCGGCTTTTTTTTTTTTTTTTGGGCTGCTTGGGGTGGCCAAAACCCTGGAGCTGGCCCTGCTCCTGGGGGATGTGGGAGTGAGGAGGGATGCGGAGAGCCAGCGGCGGGTGGGGGAGTGAGGAGGCTCGGCTGGGTGCTAGGGCTGCGGGGGTCAGCGACGGCCTGGGGAGGGCCTTCAGGGGTAGGGGGGCTGGTGGATTGGAGCCCCTCAGGGTTTCTCCTGTTTGGGGAGGGGGCAGGGCCTTGGGTGGAGCCAGTAGGCTAACCTCCCCAAAGCAGGGGTTCCCCTGCTGCCTATGTGCAGGGGTGTGGGAGTAACTTCTTCAAATCCTTTCTCCCCCTCGGGGGGCGAGGGGGGGGGGAAGGACAAATTGAACCTGGGTCTCTCCCATCCCAGGTGAGTGGCCACTGGGCTAAAGTTATGAGGTAGGTGCTCCCATCACCCCCTTCCTTTTCCAGTTTGAAGGGCCTCCCTCTTCAGTGACCATATTTTGAATGGGACCTGATCCTGTAGGCAGCCTGTGAGAACACTACCCGATCAGATTCTGTGCACACAATAGGCAGGCAAATACCTATCTTCCCCCCAGGTCAGGGATCACTTGTGGGCTCAGGTTGGAGACCCAAACACCCAGGTGAGGCAGAAGCTTAGGTGCTGCTAAAGGCTCCTCTGGGTACACTGATTTAAAAAACAAAACAAAAACCTGCAGCACCAAGTCTCAGAGACTGGAACAGCTGACTAGGGTGCAGGGCTAAAATATTCCAAAGTGGATGTTCAGGCCTGAACTCTGAGAGCTATGGCTGTGCTGCGGGTCTTTTATCACAGTGCAGGCATATCCTTATGATTCACGGGGAGTTTTATGGACCACTGTGGAGCCTAAAATTGGGACTTAAGTGCCTAAACCCAAGACTTCAGTGTTAGGGGGCAATTAAAGGTGAAATACAAGTACCATAAGATGGTGAATATGCATATGATGATAATTGATAGTGGAGGCTTAAGAGAAACCTACTGGAATGAAAATTTATGGGCAAGATGATGTTTTTAAAAAAATCCCAGGGAATGGAAACTGTAATTAAATATTTAAGTGTTTCTTTGATTATAGCGTCTGGCAAAAGAATGGAATAAGGGCCAATGTGTGTGTTATAAATTGATACAGCAGCATCTTAAGCAAAGGTTTCAAGTAATATGAAGAACTTGATGTAGGTTTTGAATTGAGGAAAATGCAGGTATTAAACTTAACACACTACCCGTTTTTCACTAGTTTCTAGACCATTATCTGCCCCATTCGTTATTATAAACAAACATAACTAGATGGTATGTCTTAACTAGGGCTGTCAAAGGATTTAAAAAAATAATCCTGGTTAGTCGTGACATTAAAAAAATCACAGCTTTAATCACACTGTTAAACAAGAATAGAATGCTATTTATTTAAATATTTTTGGATGTTTTCTACTTTTCAAATATATTGATTTCAATTACAACATAGAATATAAAGTGTACGCTGTTCACTTTATATTTTTTGATAAACAACAATAGCATTATCTCTCATAAATGTAAACAAACTTGTTTGTCTGAGTGATTGGCTGAACAAGAAGTAGAACTGAGTGGATTTGTAGTCTCTAAAGTTTTACGTTTTGTTTTTGAGTGCAGTTACATAAAAAAATTTTACATTTGTAAGTTGCATTTTCACAATAAAGACTGCACTACGGTACTTGTATGAGGTGAAATACCAAAAAATGCTATTTCTTTTGTGGATTTTTTTTAGGGCTGGTGATTAATTGCCATTAACTCAAAAAAAATTAATCACGATTAATCAGTTATAATCGCACTGTTAAACTTCAACTGATATTCTGTTGTTTATTAAATATTTTTGGATTTTTTCTACATTTTCAAATAGTGATTTCAATTACAGCACAATACAGTGTACAGTGATCACTTCATATTTTTGATTTGCACTATAAAAATTATAAACAAAATAGTATTTCAATTTACCTCATACAAGTACTGAGGGGAGGGATAGCTCAGTGGTTTGAGCATTGGCCTGCTAAACCCAGGGTTGAGAGTTCAATCCTTGAGGGGGCCACTTAGGGATCTGGGGCAAAATCAGTACTTGGGCCTGCTAGTGAAAGCAGGGGGCTGGACTTGACTTGATCACCTTTCAGGGTCCCTTCCAGCTCTATGAGATAGGTATGACTTGTATGTAGATTTTTTGTTTTGTTTTGTTACATTGTTTTGTTTGAGTGCAGTTATGTAAAACTGTAGAGCAGGGGTCGGCAACCTTTCAGAAGTGGTGTGCCAAGTCTTCATTTATTCACTCTAATTTAAGGTTTCACGTGCCAATAATACATTTTTAGAAGGTCTCTTTCTATAAGTCTATAATATATAACTAAACTATTGTTATATGTAAAGTAAATAATGTTTTTAAAATGTTTAAGAAGCTTCATTTAAAATTAAATTAAAATGCAGAGTCCCCCGGACTGGTGGCCAGGACCCGGGCAGTGAGAGTGCCACTGAAAAATCAGCTCGTGTGCCACCTTTGGCACGCGTCCCATAGGTTGCCTACCCCTGCTGTAGAGCCTATAAGTCCACTCCGTCCTACTTCTTGTTCAGCCAATCGCTAAGACAAACAAATTTGTTTACATTTATGGGAGATAATGCTGCCCTCTTCTTATTTACAATGTCACTCGAAAGTGAAAACAGATGTTCACATGGCACTTTTGTAGCTGGCATTGCAAGATATTTATGTGCCATTCATATGCCCCTTCCTGCTTCAACCACCATGCCAGAGGACATGCTTCCATGCTGATGACGCTCGTTAAAAAAAAATAATGCGTTACTTAAATTTGTTACTGAACTCCTTGGGGGGAAATTGTATGTCTCCAGCTCCATGGCTTTACCTGCATTCTGCCATACATTGCATGTTATAGCAGTCTCAGATGATCACATGTTCATTTTAAGAACACTTTTACTGCAGATTTGACAAAATGGAAAGAAGGTACCAATGTGAGATTTCTAAAGATAGCTACAGCACTCCACCCAAAGTTTAAGAATCTGAAGTGCCTTCCAAAATCTGAGAGGCACAAGGTGTGGAACACGCTTTCAGAAATCTTAAAAAGAGCACCACTTTGATGCAAACACTACAGAACCCGAACCACCAAAGAAAATCAACTTTCTGACGATGAAAATGAACATGCGTCGGTCCGCACTACTTTGGATCGTTATTGAGCAGAACCTGTCATCAGCATGGACGCATGTCCCCTGGAATGGTGTTGAAGCAGGAAGGGGCATATGAATCTTTAGCGCATCTGGCACGTAAATATCTTGCGACGCCAGCTACAACAGTGCCATGCGAACACCTGTTCTCACTTTCAGGTGCCACTGTAAACAAGAAACAGGCACCATTATCTCCTGCAAATGTAAACAAACTTGTTGTCTGAGTGATTGGTTGAACAAAAAGTAGGACTGAGGGGAGTTGTAGGCTTTAAAGTTTTACATTGCATTCAAAAATAAGTTATTTTTTGTACATAATTCTACATTTGTAAGTTCAACTTTCATGATGAGATTACACTACAGTACTTATTTGCACTGTAAAAAAAAGTATTTCAGTTCACCTATTTATAATCAAAATATAAAGTGATCATTTTGATTTCAATTACAACACAATACAATGTATTTGAAAATATAGAAAACATGCAAAAATATTTAAATAAATGGTATTCTATTTAACAGCATGATTAATTTTTGTAATTGCTTGACAGCCCTAATTATTTTATATTGCAGTAGCATTAAGCAGCTTTGTGCTAGGTGCTGTGTAAACACATACAAAGACAAGATCCCTGAAGAATTGTGTCTGTACTAATGACTTCTGTTGCTGTTACTATACAGATGATCAAGAAACAGTAGATTGAAATTCAACACTTGTTTGCAACTAAGGACAGCCAGTGCTTCCTTTGGGGCAAAGTCATCATTCACAAGGCATTTTGATACTTATTTAAAACATGCATACAGCACAAACTGCTCCATGGAGCTGTCAACTTAGCTAGTGGCATCAGGATGATAGGTATTACTGTCCACATGAAGAATTACAAATCCTCTTCACACATGGCTATAATCTAGCCAACCTAGAAAAGGCATTAGCGTTTCCTCTGTTTCATAAATTTAACAAACCACAAAACTGGTGTAGAAAGGACTCAACCAATTTTTTATATTAGGAATTTTATATTCAATAACTTTTTAAAAACTAAACTTTTAGTACCTAGAGGTTCATGGCCTATAAAACTTTTAGAAGCATTTTAACCTTAGGACACCATTTGTGAGAAACTTGCAAGGAAATGGTAGTGAACTACGCCTTCAAGTCTATGTTCAAATGCCATCCATCAGCGAGCACAAACTGCAAGCAAAACAGAATGGCTGTAGATGTTATTTTTTATTAATTACATTGATCACTGTTTTCCCACGTGCATGTCCTCCTTCTAGCTTCAGAAAGGCCTTTGGAACTTCAGAAAAAGAGAAGACTTGGTCAACAACTGGATGGATCTATGAAACAAAAACAGAGATCACTTGGCAGGGATCAAATGACTGAGCATGATCCTAACAGCTTCTCCCCTACTGCACTTCAAAGTTATATGTAATAAGTAACTAAAATACAGTGACATCTAACCTTGAACACTAATATAGTCATCTACTGTTCAAAGCTCTCATCTGCAGGACCCAGAGAAAGCAGATGGATACACTGATTCTATCTTATGTTCCATACATTAATATTTGGAGGAAGAGAAGTGTTTTACACACTTTTCTTCATTGTTGACATTTATTATTTATTTCATGTTCAACTCACACGCACCAGGTTCTAAGTTCCACAGGGCCAGATTTTTAAAAGGTATTTAGGCACCTTTGGGGATATTTGAAAGCATCTATGTGCTTAACTCCCACTGGGGTCAGTGGGACTTAGGTGCTTTTGAAAATCTTACTAAGCCCCCACCTTTAAAAATGCCTTAAGAGTACAAGCCCCATACTTGTTCTCATAAGCCACTTTGCGCTAGTTTTTAAAAGGTGTACCTAATTCCCCTTTAAACCAGTGGAGTTAGGCATCTAGATACCTTTAAAAATCCCACCCTTTAAATCCATACCTTTAAAAATCGATGTATAATTTATATGGTACAAGTTGTTTCTTGATCTAACAGCTATCTTGACGTATTAATTTTGCAAAGTAATCCTATGCACGGTTTTCATATCATCTCCAAATAAGGTGAAGCAACCACACTTGCTGTCCCCATCACAGTGTGGAAATCAGCACTGCTTCACTCTTATTTATACATATTCCTCCCCTGGCTTTTGCTAATGGTCACATTCCATCTGTACCCAGGGAGGGGGAATATTAGCTTCTTCTGAAAACATATCTCATTGACAGCCAAAAAGAGTGCTAGAAAAGGTGTCACATATTGAGCCCTCTTCCCAGAGGCCAAGATAACAAGCTCTACAAGAACACTATCCCGAGGATGATCTCACACCTTGATGCAATATTCCTGCAGCACTGGGCTGGCCTCTATCATCTTTATGGAAAGAAAGATTAACATTAGCTGGTTCTTGCATCTAACTGTTGCAGTGATCAGCATTTAAATAAAGCCCTAAACATTATACTAGAAAGATGCTTGTCATTTATAACACCCTGTTGATAATGACAACTCTCCTCGGGGAGAAGCTGCTCTTCATTTTCTCCCCCCCCCCCCCCCCCTGTAGCCCAAAACTTTAAAAATTCATAATTATTCTCTCACGTTACCATACTATTCAAATATCTCAATGCCAAAGGCATAATGCAACAAGACAAGCAGCTTGCAAATTTCAGAAGCAGTGGCTCTTTTTCAAGCTTCTAAGCAAACAGCCCCCCTCTCTCACCCCCAATTTTACCAAACTGCAAAGGTTCATTTTCAGAAACACACCCCAGGAAATGAGTGCATAGCACATCTACCAGTGAAGGGTTCCATATATGCACTTCCCAAGCAAGGTTTTGAAAACTCGCCACATAATATATTCCCCCAACAGCTGCACAACCCCACTATAGTAGCTGAAAGTCCTCCTATAGGGTCCTTCACTCATTCCTCTGCATATTTTCAGTTCATATTATTGATATTAAACACCCTACAGCAAAGCCCAAATGCTGCAATAAAGAATGGGGGAGGGATAGCTCCGTGGTTTGAGCTTTGGCCTGCTAAACCCATGGTTGTGAGCTCAATCCTTGAGGGGGCCATTTAGGGAACTGGGATAAAAATCTGTCCAGGATTGGTCCTGCTTTGAGCAGGAGGTTGGACTAGATGACCTCCTGAGGTCCCTTCTAACCCTGATATTCTATTATTTGATTTGTATGACTACAAAAAGCCAGGACATTAGTAATCAAAACAACCTATTATGCCACAGTAGTCACCTGCTCTCTTCAAGAAGTCACAATGATTTTTGACTCAGAAGTCAAATCAGCAGTGCTAAGTGGAAGATCATGCATGACTGAGATGTAAGCTCCCACACAAAAGAAAACTTGGACGAAAGGATCAGAATTAGTATATTTGATTCTCCCCTAAAGCCATTCTGCTAATATATATTCGCCAGCTGCATCAAGCATGCACACTCTGGAGTGACATGGTGGGTGAGGTAATATCTTCTGTTGGTGAGAGACAAGCTTTTGAGCTACTTCAGGTCTGGGCTCTGTATAACTCGAAAGCTTGTCTGTCTCACCACCAGTTGGTCCAATAGAAAATATTACCTCACGCTCCTTGTCTCTCTAATATCCTGGGACTGACACAGCTACAACACTGTATACCACACTCTGGAGTGTAAGTTTTACCTGGCTGAACAAGGGGAGCAACACAATCTATGTTTTCTTTGCAGTGTGATGGAGGGGGCAGTCAGATGCTGCATAGCACTCATACTACCCAAAATTGGAGCAATTCTGACTTGGTTTTGCTACGCTGGTCAAAATCAGTGCTGCCCTACTGATCAGGGACAGGGAGGTAAAGCAATAGTGTCTTTGGCTATACTGTTGGGGTGGATCAAGCAAATGCTGTGACTATTTGCAAGGGAAATGTAGCATCAACAGCACTGACTGTCCTCCATTGCTACAGCAGCAGCAGCGGGGGGGAAAGAGCAGGGAAAATTCACTAACTTGTTTGTACAGAGCGTGACTTGAGGAACCTGAACGACCTATAAAAGTTATTAAAATAACAAGATCTATTTGCTGAGCTTCACTTCAGTTTAAAACAAAGAGAGGTAGACTGTTCAGAAACGCACAGTACACAGGAGAAAACCACTGATTAGCCCAGGGTGAGCGTGGCCTGTGGCAGGGTGAGGCTATCAGAATAGTGATCAGGAAAGGTTGGAGCTCAGATATGATCCCCAGGTGGAAGCACAGAAGAGCCATTTACAAGGAAAGGCACAATAAGGATAATTCCAGACACCAACACTGGTTATATAAAGATTTCAGAACAAAAATGACTATTACCCTCCATAGACCCAACATACATTTTGAACTACTTGTGATCACTTGTATCAGGTTATAACACTATGTCTTAGGTTCTCAATATATTACATAAAGTTCACAGCACATTTTAAAAATAGTGCTCTAGGGGATTCAGAGGAATCCCTAGCCCAACCTGATAGAATGCAAAACACTGCGTATATCACTGCCACCAAATGCTCACAGCTCATATGCTCCATTGTTAGAAACCTCTGGTCTGAGTTAAACACTGACCCCTCTAGAGACATGAATACTAAATTGATGATCCTGGCAATCTAAAGCATTAAAAAATTTCTCTGGCCTGCTGATTAGTCCATTGTCTGGATACCCCTGAAAGGGCTGACCATATCACTGCACAATGAGTCATTTGGCCTTTACTATAATCAACTGACTCAGATAAAATCTCTTCCTGTGAACAGGCAGGCGGGCTGGGGGGAGCGTCCCTGCTTGCTGAATACATGATAATAAGTGGAGATTAACTGGATAATGCAAACACTGTCTTTTTACAGCCACACATCAGCCCCCTGCCAGTGGACACTTACTTGTTCAGGGAAACAGGATTAAATACTAAAGGGTGGGGAGAGAAGGGATTACACCCACCACTACAGAATTGTTTATCTGAAAAAACAGATTGAGTTTGAATATTCTCTTGCTCTCCGTTCTTAACAATGCGCAGAACATTATAGATATGGATCCCTGGGCTCTTCACTGAGCTCCTTACATGTTTTAAAAGGGGGAGGAGAGAGAGAGAGGAAACCTATTTGCTAATGTTAGTTAAGAGTCTGAAATGTACCAAACCCAGCTCTGAACTCAACAGGCTATGACTGAAACGCAGCATTAGGAGTCCACTCAGTAGTAATAATTTTCAAACTTTTGGCCAATCGGAATCCTTCCTTGCCAGTCTGTATTTCTCTGATAAGAGAGATGCACTGGCCCTTTCAGTTCTGAAGTGAACAGACGAGCCTAAATCCTGCAGTCCTTACTCAGGTAAAACTCCCTAGGAGCAAGAACTGAAGAATCAAACCCCATAACTCAAAAGCAATGATATTGCACTGGTTCTTTTCTGTGTTTCTACCGCACCCAGCACACTGATCCTGAGTAGGGCCTTTGGACATGAATATAAATGTTTACTACTAACAATGCACTGCATATAAATATGCATATTTATCCACAAACTTTACACAATATGTATTTTGGGTTGAAATGAAGAACACACTGTGATTTTGAGACATGAAAGCATAGTACCACCTAGATCAGGGGCACTCGTTCTGTGGAAAGGGCCAAATTCCATTTGTAACTATGGTTCATGAGCCAAGGTATAAATGTAGGACTCAATACTCCCCTCCCTGCATCCACAGTGAATCTCCCCTGATGTCAATGAGAAGTTTGCACAAAGATCATTAGTTGAATTGGCTTTGATGTTGCAACTAAAAATTTCATTTTTGTTTGGTACTTTATTGTCACTAAGTAGAAAATAGGCTCACCTTTAGGAACACCGCTATTTCTGCCTTTTGTTTCTCTTCCTTCCCCATCACCTTTCTGTTTCTCTCCCTCTTCCATGCCTTTGTTTCTCTCTTTTCTTATATCTGCATTTCTTTCCCTGCTGCATCTCTCAAGTCCCACCTTCCATGGCCTTCTCTCCCACCCCCTTCTCCATTTCACCACTGAAATGATATGCAATGAAATAGTTAATGCTGACATTAGAAGTGTCATCAATAGGCTCTAGATTTAACAACATAGTGAGATTAATGGGGGAGGAAAGTTCACACATCTTGGAGGCACTGTTTGAAGTTGCTGTGATTACTCGTGTCACATATTCAAGGGTAGCTTTGGAACCCAAAGGCTAGAAACAGGGTTTTTCTTCTTAATGAAAGCTTAGAATCTCCAGAAAATATGAGTATTATGTACACAAAAATATATCGAAGAGTCTGACTTCTCTCGCCTTGATTTTAAAGTAAGTGGAACGTCAGAAATGCCTAATGAAAAATGATCAAATATGAACACACATGCTCTGGTGGTAAAGACCCAGGAATGGGAGGGAGAAGTTCTGGATTCTATTTAAAGCTTTACCAAGGACTTCTTATGAGACCCTAGATAAGTCACAAACCTCTCTCTCTGCCTTAGTTTCTCCATCTGTCAAATGGTAACAATACCTAATTCACAGGGTGTCTTTGCGTCATATACACTAGCTGCTCTTCTGGTATCTTTTAAAGAATTAAAACAGACATATTATGTGTCTTAAAACAATATACTGCTCCTGTCTAATTGCAGTTATGACAGAGTAACACATGTGATTAATAAAATTCTGACAGCGAAGTCCAAGTGAATCCAGTTATGTTTGGGGGTTTAATGACCAAATACAGCCTGTGCATCACTAACTGGAGCAGCTGGAGCCGTTTCCAGCACAATGAGGAGGAAGAAGAGACTGGAGCCAGCCCAAGCGTATTGTGTTTGCCAGGCCAGGCTCGCCTCAATACAAGTTAGAGTGGCTGGATTCAGCTAATTTACCCCACGTTAAACACACTGGACTATGCAGAGAAAGGCTCTAATGGACAGCTTCTCTTGTAGAACTCTCTCGTCTAGTCGCAGGCAGTGGAAGCTGTTCTATATTGTGTCACACGCTCTTCAGTGTTACTCACTTGTATTGTTAGTTTAATTTGACTGGTGTTATAAATCCCACACAAACAAGAAGGGAGAACTGTTTGTGCAGCTGCAGCTCCTATTTATACTTCCCCTCTACCTGAGTTTGCTTTTGTCAAGGTTCTCCCCTTACTAGAGAACTCTGCCCTCCCCGTGGTTTGCACACTCCTAGGGGCAAGGGCTGAGAAAACAAAACTCCACGCCATGTTCAGAAGCTGTTTTGTTCACCACCTTTACCCATTCTACTGTAGCTATTTTTGGTAAATCTAGATGTATTTTCCCGCCCCAGAAGACAAGATCCCTGAAAGTCAGTGCTGATTAACCACAGAATACACAGCTGCATCAGACTAACCAAGAGAGAGAGCAACACATTTGAGTAAGTGTCTGGTATCTGCTTACACGGTTCCAGGTCTAATCCTGATTTATGTGAATCTGAATATTCAAATAAAGTCCAACACCTGTGTAAAGAGTGTACATTTTGTGTTAGCTTTGCTCATGGAAATTGTATTAATGTAAGCACTGAGTATTTTCATAAACATAGTGAGCAAGCTATACTATCTGAGAAGAGAGGAGCAGATGGGTTTTAATAAAACAGAATTCACAGCCACAGCTAAATGCAGCTCTAGAGTTCTTTCTCTCTTAAAACAAAACAAAAAACCCTACAAAGATGGGTTATTTAACAGAAAGTCTTTGCAACATCTCTCAAAAATCAATACCTCTGGTTTCCAGCCAACCAGCACAAAAAGCTAATTAAAGTCAAGGCATATCCACACAGAGCATCTAAACATACAAAGCTAGGCAGGGTGCGGGCAAGCTTTCCAACTGATCTTGGCCTGGAGAGGGATGGACTCTGCAGATACTTCTTCACTGCAGAGTCGACATGGACTCTTATCCAAGTATTGTCTGAAATCCCCCTTTCTTCCACACGCAAAAATCTCTGACCTTAGTTTAGTGGTTGCTTCATCCAAAGCTAACTGAACAATCTAGGGATGTAGGCTAAAGCCCAAATCGGGCTGATAGTCCTCCAATGCCTTCCCACAATTCCCCATGCGCCAAGAAGGACAGACAAATACTCCCATAATTCACTAGGAAAGAATCATAGTGGCTCAGCATATTGCAGCACAGAGAACCATGGGATATGTCCCCAGAAGCCCTAGAACATACACAGATGAGCGCAGCAGCAATGTGGACATAGCAACTCAAATGTCGCTTTGCAGGGCAGCTGCTCAGAGCCTGCCTACGCTAACCAGGGTGTTCATATCCGGGTGACAATCACCTCAGTTAATTCTAAAGTGAAGACAAATCCTGGGACTTTCCACTGGCTGGTCAGTACTTCAGAGGTGGCATATTGGGTATATGGGCAGAATAGGAAGTGCACTGTGGGCCTGAACAGCACTAAAAAGGTGAATAGCAGCAATGAAGTGGCCCAAAGATCATTCAGGAATTGGGAAAAAAGAAGGACAAAACTAAAAATACCAGTTTCTGGAAGAGGAGGGGGAAATATATAGTGGAGAGAAAGGAAATCCAAATGGGGACATAATTTGATTACCTACACACTTCTAGAAAAGGACCCATCTTTTAGACCCAGGAGTGTGAAATGGCCTGGAGATTCATGTTCTAGAATCAACAGAGCACAGGGGCAGGTTCTCTTCCTTGTTCTGCTTCAACAGCACAAAGGCAGTAGGAAACTGTTCATAGCATCTCTGCTGGAGATTTCCCCACTGCGGGGGAGTCCCCAAAAGGTGCTGAGACGCAAGGCCAGTTCTTACAGCACCTCATCTCCCAGCATGTGTGGATTGAGGGGAGATGAATTACACTGTCAGGAGGAGCCTCCCCATCCTCTCTTGGGGACAACTTGTAACAAGCTCTTAAACTTGGGAAAATTAGGAAAGTAATAGTACACCTTCCTCATCATGACCCTTTTCTGATTCCACTGTGGAAAACTTCATGACAATTGACAATTTAAAAGACAATGGAGCTTGATGAAATTATGTTAAAGTATCACTGAATTTTATACTCCTAAAGAGAGAAATAATTACATACAAGATTCCCCACACCACTCTGTCAATGCATGTCAGCTGTGACTGGTAATACCCTAAATATTCTAGTACATGTCTGGGGGTGGTTGGGTACATGGATAGAAGAAGCAGTCAAGTTCATTTTGACTGAAGAACCAACCAAGTGTCCCTACTACCCCAGCACCCTTTTTTCATTTTCATTGTCAGAGTTCAGGCTAAACCATCACTTCCAGTGCCAAAAGTAGCCCGTTTTGCCTATAGCCCAATACATTTTATGTCTGAAAAGAGGGGAGAATCCTATTATTAACAAAGTAGGAAACACCAATGTCTACATTCTGTACACTGGGCGAGAACTAAGTGAGAAGGAAAAGTTGAAAAGCAACAATTAACCCTCTCACTGAACAGTTTGTAATGTTTTATTCCAAGGGTAGGCAACCTTTCAGAAGTGGTGTGCCGAGTCTTCATTTATTCACTTTAATTTAAGGTTTCGTGTGCCAATAATACATTTTAACGTTTTTTAGAAAGTTTCTCTCTAAGTCTATATTATATAACTAAACTATTGTTGTATGTAAAGTAAACAAGGTTTTCAAAATGTTTAAGAAGCTTCATTTAAAATTAAATTAAAATGCTGATCTTACACCGCCAGCCTGCTCAGCCCGCTTCCAGCCTGGGGTTCTGTTCACCTAGCCTGGCAGCGGGCTGAGCGGGGCCCACGGTCCCGTCCCTACCTCTTCTCTGCCTCCTCTACGGAGCATGGAGCACGCTGCCACTCGTCCCCCTCCCCCTCACAAGGGCGATCAGCTGATCGGCGCAGGGAGAGGGAGCGGGAGGAGGAGGGGCAGGAAAACACCACACTGGGGGAAGAAGCGGGGGGGGGGAGGGGGGAAGCTTGGCTGCCACAGGACCAAGCTTCTGCCTCCTGCCCCCGCACGGGAGAGCGGTGGGCGGGGGGGCTGAGTGGGGCTGGGACCTCGGCAGTGTGCCACTTAAAATCGGCTTGAGTGCCGTGTTTGGCACATGTGCCGTAGGTTGCCAACCCCTGTTTTATTCCTTAACTGTGAATTATACACTTTTTAAGGCAAAGCAGCATTTATTTCAGCAATAATACAGTGGGTTAAATTACGGATTCTAACATACCTTTCCTGATTCAACCAGTTTTGCTATCTCATCCAAAGATTGGCCGCTCGGTGTGAAAAATGCCCATCGATAATGGATTCCTTTACAGAGGTGCTGAAATGGACAGATCACACAAACACACATAAAGAGTTACAAAAGAAACTCAAAATGTGAACTGTACATTTAAACGAGAGTCAGAGTCTAGAAAGGTATCTTAAGAAAAATGTGGGAAATATTTTCTGGCGTCTAAATGTCACAGAAGCACATGGACTAGATGTATGCACATGGATGTTGCGCCGTCACAATAAGATCAGAGTCCAACTGCATGAGTTGGCTAGTTGTGATAAAAGCCTTATCTTCACAGCCAGACAAGCAGGACTGTTTCTTATACAAGATGTAAACTGTGCAAAGTCACACTTTTTTTTTTTATATATATTTTATATATATATATATACACACACACACACACACAGAGAGAATGAATTCTGCTGGGGATTCAGAGCCTTTCACCTGTATGTAATCAGTTCAAATCCAGCCCAGGGTGGCGATGGCAGAAAATCATTTCTGCCTGATGACTGGTTGGTGGCCTATTTGAAGTGGGCTGTTTGTCTCAGTCCAGCTCTCAGCAGACAGGCATACTCATACTATCACTTGGTGGTTGCATCAGTGGCTAAGAACTGAGTAGACCTAGAGAGAATGAGCTATTTGTACCCTCTCTCACTCATAGAGGCAGGGTTGATTCACATTAGGGGAGCAATGTGAAAAAAGCTAACGTCGCTGCTACGCATCACACTCCTTGAAGAGCCAGCCACCTTCCATCTTTGAAGCTGTCAGTCCAATGTCATTCACTGCTGTTCAATTATATTATATTATATAGTATAGTAAGTATAGTAAATTATACATTAAAATATATAAATTATGTTAAATATATATAAAAAGGAAACTATATTATACACACACACAAATATAGGCAGCCCTACAAGGTCAACCTGGGCTCTGACAGTAAAGTCAGCTTTTTCTAGCTCAACTTCATTGCCAGTAATATAGATTCTGCAGGCCAGCTTTTACTCTTGGATACATCATGCAGAGACCGAACTAAAGGTTCTGCTGAAAAAGATGGTGTCATTTGTACAAGGTAGCTTTTCAGAAGATAGCTGCATTTTAAAGGCTGACACTGACAAACAGGGGCCTACTCCTACCAATTTTGCTAGGAGAAAGAGGTGAATCAAAAAGGGGATTTTGATTAAAATTTCAGGAAGATCTCACATTCAAGTCATACAAGTCAGGAGTAACTCCAATGATGGAAATCTGGTTTGAGAACAGAATCAGGGCCTGGATTTTTCAAATCCAATTGAAACGTGATACATAACACAAAATGCCTCTCACGTAAACATGCAGAAAGCTGCACTGAGCAATGAGTACAGCCTTCTTTCCAGGCTCGTACTTCACTTCATTATGTACAGGAGGCCTCCCTTTTGAAGTGTCAGTATTAGACTTGGGGTCTCATTCGAATATGCAGCCACAGCAACTGCTGAAACAGCACTCCTTTGGAGAGCAAGAATTGCCTGTTCAGGGAAAAAACAAGCCTTTAAAAAAAATAAAGAGTTCACCTGTCTGTTTCAGACAGAAAGAAATTATTTAAAAAGTGAAGACAGAAAAATTAGGGTAACAATATCACCACCCAGAAACACGAGTCGGAAGAGAGGAAAAAGGAAAAGAAAAAGTGTTTCTTAGCTGTCCTGTGGGAATTCTCTCCTTTAGGGATGAAGATGGCACATCACTGGAGCAAACAATGTGTTGGGTGAAATCCTGACCCCAATGAAGTCAATAGCAAAACTCCCACTGACTGCAATGGGGCCAGGATTTCATCTGTTGCATTTACTGTAGACATACCAACAGGACTTACTATGAAAAAAGTAGAATGAAAAATCTTAACTCAGAGGCACCCAAAACACTCCCACATCAGCCAGACAGATATCAGTTCTCACTCAACTATCACCAACCCTGTATGTGGAGGAAAGGGAAAAAAACAGTTGGGAGAGTATGAGCATGCCTAACTAAGCACACAGGAATGAGGCAAAAAAACCCAAAACATGTACCAGGAGACTAACTGCATCCAAACTCCTTATTACATAGAGTTAAAGCATCCATTTTGTTACTGTACCTTTACAGCTTTGGTTCCAATCGTGACTCCTGTTTGTAGCATGCCATCAGCTACTCCAAGCCTGTCCACATTCAGTAGAAAGGGTGTTACCAAAGTAACATATGTGGCTCCTGACCATTTCTTGAGGAAATCTAGAGACCATTTTTCAGTGGGTCCACCAACATTATCTAGGATGAAATCAAACCTGGAAACAGGGAAAAAATGTGTTTGGAAAGCACGGTGTTGCACTGAAAAAAATACAGAAACAGGCCAACAGTCTTGTAATTAACTTGTTTATTTGAGAGAAAAGGTGATTCTAAGCAGAGATTGACTATAGCTGAAATGTCCATTTACAGATGCAAGGCATTGAAACAATCTGTGCACAGGAATGTAGCATGGAAGACCCAGACTTTCAACTAAATCCTAGTTCACTATGTGAAAGTAGAATGAATTATATTGTAAAAGCAGAATGGATTAAAGAAATGCTGTATGTTCCTTTAAGCAGGAATGAGGAATGTTGAGCTAAAGTTGACAGGAAGAGAAACATTAAGGTATTGAACAATGGGTCCACTTAAGCTGATGGTGAGACATTAACAGGAGATCGGTAAGAGTTAATAAGGAAATAAAATGTGTGTGTCTAGCCCCAGGTAAACTTATCAGTTCTGCTCCCTCTGTCATCTTGTTAAGTTCGGGCCCTTTTTATCTGAATAAATAAGATAGTTTGGGCCTTGCATGGCACTCACATTATCTGGGTGTATTAGCAGAGCGCTTTTGCTAATAAACAGAGTGGTCTGACAAATTGTGAGTCCTGAGTCTGACTTTGACAATTATAACCCAGCCCCACTGTACACAGAGATTGTACCTATATGTTACTGGTCATTCACTAAAGACAGGATACAACCATCTCAGGGCCAACTAACAATCTCACTGTAGCTAAACTGAACACCACCCTAATTGTTTAGAGTCACTATGACTTTGTTACATTGGCCTACACATGCAGCAGCATATAGGGTATGTGAAAGGCAAGCTGTGTCCACACTCACTGGTGTGTGCAGCTATATGTAGTCCTCAAAGGCTCTGACAGCAGGGAGGCAGCAGGGAAAGGCTCCAGTGCTCCCCTCCGCTGGGGCCTTTCACTGCAGTGAGGAAAAGGCTTTGTCAGGGGAGAGGCAGGGGAGCTGCTGGAGCGTTTCACTGCGGGAAAAGCCTCCCACAATGGGGAGACAGCAGGACACTACAGTGCTAAAAATAGCAGTGTAGACGGGGAAAGACTGCTTGTGCATGTAGGGTTCAGATGTGTAGGACACTCTACTCACCTATGCTATTTATACCCGTGCTAGCTGGGCCTGCTGTGTCTGTACTTTACATACTGCTGCAAGTGTAGACCCACCTTACGATAGTTTCAAGATATTCTAGAGCTTCACATTCTTCTCCCAAGCAATATTTGCTTGAAAGTTTGAAATTCAAACTATTTAGATTCAAATATAATTATCACAATTTATATTTGAATAATTCTTTAAGAAAAAACAAGCAAAAAATCCTTAAGGTGGGAATTCCTAACAAACAACTAATTTCAAGGAAAACTCTAAACAATACATTTTAAACATAAATGTATTTATCTTGAAACATTTGTTATTTATCTGAGACAGCTGGACTAGGCTTCCAGAAAAGCTCAATCTATTCCCAGCTCTGCTGCACACTTGCTATCAGACTTTAACACATAACTGCTCCATGCCTCAGTTTCCCTTTCTGTAAAATGAACTATTAGTGCTTACTTACCTCACACAAACTTGTAAAGCTTAATTCATTAATGTTTCCAATGTTGTTATAGCTGTGTTGGTCTCAAGATATTAGAGAGACAAAGTGGGTGAGGTAATATCTTTTATTGGAGCAACTTTGGTTGGTGAGAAAGACAAGCTTTCGAGCCTAGAGCTCTTCTTCAGGCCTGCTTCAGCAGCACTGCAAACATTACCGAATTAAGCTTTGCAAATCCTGTGTGAGGTATGCCAACACCAACAGTTCATTTTACAGAAAGGGAAACTGAGGCACGAAGCAGTTAAGTCTGAAGCAGAGCTCTGTGTAGCTTGAAAGCTCGTCTCTCTCACCAACAGAAGTTGGTCCAGTAAAAAATATTACCTCATCCACCTTGTCTTTCATTAATGTTTGTAAGCGTTTTGAGATCCTTGGAGGGAAATCATTATCATTATAGAAATGTGTTTAATGAGTGAACTCTTCCCCATTGACTTAACCTATTTTTTCTGACTTAATACTGCAGAGCAGTCTGTATTTATGATACTCATTTCACAGCCACATTCAAAGGGGGGGAGGCAGAGAGCTTGCTTTAGAAAGTAAGGCTTTGCAAACAGGAAGGCTCAAAACCCCAGAGGCAGGGAGTCTGCCAGACTAATTTTGGATTCGAGCAACCCAAAAGGTATATGCAAGGGAGTCTGCTTGCTGCCTATGCCCCTACTGTACTATATAAATATTTAACTGCTTTAGTACATACAATGGTAACATTTTCAGTTGCTCTGCTACATCTCCAGATTTGTAATCAATCACATCATCTGCTCCAAGCTTTTTCACCAGGGTACTGGCATCCTGAGAACAAACTGCTGTCACATGACCACCCCAAGCTTTCATTAGCTATATTTAAAAAAAAAAAAAAAAACATAAAAAATTCTAAGGTTTAAAAATTATTTAAATAGTGAAAATACCTCAGAAGACCAACATCTCATTATCAACAGAATCCAAATAAACATCTGCAATAGAGAGGGAGCATAGCAGGTGCACTGTGTTACTGTGTAGGGCAACTCTTTAACACACAACTCCATAAAACAGGGATGGGCAAACTTTTTGGCCTGAGCGCCACATCTGCGTATGGAAATTGTATGATGGGCCATGAATGCTCATGAAATTGGGGATTGGGGTGCAGGAGGAGGTGATGGCTCCAGCTGGGGGTGCGTGCTCGGAGGAGGCAGAAATGAAGAGTTCAGGGTGCAGGAGGGGGCTCCGGGCTGGGGCATAGGGTTGGGGCTCTGGCTGAGGGTGGTCTCTGGGGTGGGGCTGAGGGGTTTGGGGTGCAGGAGGGTGCTCTGGGCTGGGACCAAGGAGTTCGGAGGGCAGGAGGGGGTTCAGGGCTGGGGCCGGGGCACAGTGCATCAGGGGTGCAGGCTCTGGGCGGTACTTACCTTAAGCAGCTCCCAGGAGCAGTGGCATGTCCCCACTCCGGCTCCTACGCAGAGGCGCGGCCAAGCAGCTCTGTGGGCTGCCCTGTCTGCAGGCGCTGCCCCTGCAGCTCCCACTGGCCACAGTTCCCGGGCAATGGGAGCTGCGGCAGCGCTGGGGGTGGGGGCAGCGTGTGGAGCCCCCGGCTGCCTCTACTCGTAGGAGCCAGAGCGGGAACATGCCACCGCTTCTGGGAGCGGCATGGAGTGGGGCAAGCCTCCTACCCCACTCACTGGCTGGAGTGCCAGAGTGGGGCAAGCCCCAGACCCCACGCCCCAGCGAGAGCTCGAGGTCCGGATTAAAACATCTGGAGGGCCGGATGCGGCCCATGGGCCGTAGTTTGCCCATCCCTGCCATAAACAGTGTTTAGGACACGCAGTTATAATAATTTTCTACTTTGATGCCTCTTACAGATCTCAGATACCAGGCTACCTTAAGTAAAATGCTGTGTGCCTTTCAAAGTTGGCCATTTGGACAGTTAATTCTTCAGATGCTGCTGACTACCTAAGTATGCACTTGGCTGCTAATATACAAAGTGCAAACCACCTTCCATCAAGGTAGATAAAAAATAATGATTTTTTAATCAGATTTTTTAATTCAAATAGAATTTTATTTTCTTATTTAAATTATAATACATTTTTCTTTTTAAAAATAAACCTGTTTAAAATGAAATCTGAATTTAATACAAAATACGTTATGTTATGTTTATGTTATGTAAAATTATGATCTCTTAAAACATTTAAATAAAAAAACAACTATGCCAAATCCTTTAGCCTCTATCAAAAACTAAGTTAAAGGCTCTTTTTCTAGATAAAAAAAAGCATCAGGGGAAAAAACATCTAACTTTTGAGCTCAAGCTATGTAAATATATATCAGAAAAGGTCATAAACTCTATTCAATACTTGTTTCATTAATAAAAATAAGATTTGTATGCTATTTTGTGTGTTTAATTAAATTCCAGTTACCATCCTAATGCAGCTTGTCACAAGTCATGAGCAAAAAGTTAATTATCTAGTAAATAAGCAATATATCATTCACCATTTTCTAACATACTAAGAATGTACAATTAATAAGAATCTGAAAGTACTAAGCTATATAATCTATACATAAATATGCGTAAATAGATATATATGGTTATAGTGTACCCTAGGTATAAAAAAGATGTATCAAATCTAGTGTAAAGACACTATTTGGTTGTAAATCAGCTCACTAGAAACAATAATCTGGCTATCTGCAAACTTCAAAGAGCAAAACTATCACTAATTTATCATAGGGAGGGTGGCTGGTTAGTTTATAGTCTGCAAAGCTGCTCAAACAGAAAGGAATTTTGCTAATTATTTAATTTACCCTCTATTGTATACATTATTCTCACTCTTCACTGCAATATCTTCTTTGATATTTGCCAACCATAAACCTAACAAAGGAATGAATTATTCTGCATGATGACAGGTAGCGATCACAACTACTCAGTGGCAGGCTCAACCTTTCTTACTGAACTCATTTAGCAACCTGCTTTATCAAGGCTCAGGCAGATAGCATACCACTGAAAACTCTCCCATGCTCTTCTAAAGGCTATTACATGCGGGGAGGAATAGCTCAGTGGTTTGAGCATTGGCCTGCTAAACCCAGGGTTGTGAGTTCAATCCTTGAGGGGGCCATTTAGGGATCTGGGGCAAAATTGGTACTTGGTGAAGGCAGGGGACTGAACTGGACTCGACTCAATGACCTTTCGAGGTCCCTTCCAGTTCTATGAGATAGGTATATCTCCATTTATTTACAACTTTGAAATCTGAAAAAAGCCCACTTAGTGGTGCAATCATCTAAAATGTATTTGTTTATACTCTGAAGACAAAGATGCTTGAGTGTAATGGGACATTGCTTTCAATCAAAAGCCCCAAATTTAATGCAAATGTACTAAGAACAAGTTTCATGATGAATAGCTCATTAAAAAACACCTCCTCCTTTTAATTGAGATTAAAAAAGTGGGGAGGGAAAATTGCATTCTAAGCCACTACACTATATTTGATGCACATAAAAACATTAACACATTAAGGAGAATTTACATCAGAAAACAAAGCAGTTTGTTGAAATCATTATCAATTTATACCAGTTTATTCCACTTGGGGGTGAGGGAGGCAGGAAATCTAATCAAAACATATAACAGATTTCAAGTCACATGGAAATTGGAGTCTTCTTCCCAGTAACTAAAGCCTTGAAGTGTAATCATTCACTTCCTACACCCATAACCTCTCTTCCCCTAAAGCCTACTCCTTCCTAACTTAGGCTAAGATAATAACAAAGTAGATGGAAATGATAAATCTCAAACTATTTTTAAACTCTCTTACCTTTGGGCTTGCATTGAGATCATTCAGTAGCTTGCTAATTCACCACCAACAGCCCCCACCTCCTTTCCCTTAAACCTTGATCATAGAGTACTTTCATAAAAGACTCACACTGGGCTTATTGTAATACATCACCTGGATAGCAAAGGTACCAACTCCACCTGAAGCGCCGAAAATTAATATTCTGTAAAACAAGAGCAATTCCAATTGATAAAACTTAACTGCATAGCAAGACAATTCCACCATGTAAGAATCCACGTGAATTAAACTAATGAAATACCCAATATACACAAAGATTCCTTGGTGATCCTATTTACATGAGGGGGAGTATTACAACAGGGAGATGAACATGAATGTAGGAGAGAAGCGGCAGCTAAGACAAAGGTCTGATGAATATAGCATTGCAGCAATCATAACAAATACCTAGGGTTATATTTTAGAGGAGGTGCCAACATGTCAGCTTTAAAAAAAGTGCAAAATTTTAATAACATTCTACTTCAATGTCTCTTACAGTCTCAGATACCAGGCTATGTGAAATTAACAGCTCTGTTTCTCTTTCAAAATTGGTCCTTTGGACAGTTAACCTTTCAGATGACTAAAAATGTGAGGTAACGCTGTCAACTTACGCTTCTATGACAATAACACTATCTTCCAGTACAGCAAGGCAGCTCTTTGCCTTGTTCATTTGAGTTTTCCACTAATCCAGAAGTGGAACTGTAGGCCAATAATATTTTCATCAAAAGACAACTTAAAGGAAGCACTATTTCCACCCTTTCTCCCCAAAAGAACTGAATAAGGTTCGCACTTCATAAGCTTAGACCCATACTTTATGCACCAAATTTTCATTGGTTTTGTGTTGCGATATTTCCTTAACAGAAAAATCAATTGTGAATGTAAACCTAAGAGAAAATATTTGTTTAAAGTGGTGGTATTTACAGTATTGGGACATTTTAGAACTCATGGAATGTAAGTCACATTATTAAACTCTATAGCTAACAGAAAAAAACATGTCATGAAGTAGACTAGGCAAAAGTAATTTTGAGGCTGAACTAAACCAAAATACATTTCTTTTCTAGAAATTCTACTGTAAATTGAGCAGAACTCTGCTAATTTTCATTTATAATTGGAAGAGATTACAGAATACCAAATGTTGAGAATGAGCAAATAAGATAAAGATCAGAGCTACTGCATCATAAAACACGTTTTGCATTTATTTTGACAAGTGTACATTCACTTTACTTGCGTGTAATAAATACCTCATAGTATATTACTAAACACACTGCAGAATATTTTGTTAAAATAATCTAGTCTTAGTGATACGAGACCTCAGTACAGCACTCTAATCGTGGTGTTTTACAAACTTCATCTAGATACTTTCTATTAAATCTTTAATACATAGACTTATAAGAAAGTGTTACTTGAAGCCTATAAATGGAATTGTAAATTTTAAACCATCTGCTGACCAGTGCAGGAATATTCAAGTCAGAATTTTAGTGACTATTTTGTTCAAAAGACTGAAGTTCTGAGATATCTGATACCCCGTGGTGGTTTCATTGAAGTTTCAGTATCTTCAAGCAAAGGATGTTTCTGATTTAAATCCTCTCACTATGCTGGGGATGAAGGAAATTGCTTTTGCAATTCAAGATCGAAGTATACTGTCTGGATGTTGGATTCAACATTTTGGTTTAAAAAAAAAAAAAAAAAAGGCACATACTTTTGCCAAACACCTTGCCAATTTTCTTCGTAACTTAAAATTTGCGATTTTCTCACTAACTTTTTGGAGAAAGCTATAGCTAAAGAGGTGAAAATTCATCTTTTGAAGAGTGACCTAAGTAAAATATTTCAGTGGAAGTTTGGAACAGCTTTGGTGAGGGTTATCTTTTTATTCTAAAAGCCTCCAGGATACATGGGTCTTCTTTGTGCATGGTACAAGAGTTGCACATCTGAAGCAAAGAGCACTAAGTAAATTTCCAGAAACAAAACAAGCAGTCAAAAAACTTTTTCATTCCCCCAACCCAAAGGCTGACCACACAGCCTGTTTGCAACCCAAATGTTATACACTGGAAACTATTTACACTATTTATAAAGCAATCTATAAGCGCATATGGGTAATTATTAGCAACAACAGAACATGTAAATAGTGACTGAGAATGTGAAAGTAAAACTCACTAGTTTTTTTTCATTGTTTAAGCTGAAGCAAATGCAAAAAGTAAAGAAACAGTATAAATAAAAGTTTTTTAAAAAGCGCTTTCACTTTTAGGTAAGTTTTGTAACCTAGGTAGGGCATTTTAAATTTTTTTTTAACCCAAAAGCACCTCATTAAATGATATTAATCCCATTTACATGCAACAAATTAACCAAAACGAAAAATGATCTAAAATATTTAAAAAATAAAGAGGGAGATAAGTGTAAAGTTCTACTGTTTACTACAGGGTAATACCAATAGTTTTAAGAGCAGAATAATTTATTTTCTCAGAATATAGTTGACCTTTAGAACAAACATTTTCCTGATATTTTCATAATGAAATTTACCATGGCACACAACAGCCAGTTACTTCAGTATCTCCCAAAGATGTAGATGAAAGATTTTCATTAAATCCAATGTCCTTTACAGGAGGTCAGAAAATATAAGGTCAAGATCTTGCAAACATTTATGCACATTCTTAATTTTATTCATGTGAGTAGTCCCATTGACTTTAATGAACTACTCACATAAGCAGTTAAGAACATGTGTAAGTGTTTATAAGATCAGGACCAAGTTGGATTTTCCTTCTGTTTAGAAGGAAGCTGAGGTGAGAAGACCTCTGACCCCATCAAAATAATTGAGGGTCTGATTCTACAAGCTTTACTTAAGCAAATAGCCCCACTGAAATTAATAGGACTATTTGTCAGAATAAAAGTTAGCAGTTCAGGCCCTGAATTAAGAAAGTAAACTTTCAGCCATTATGTCATCTCTGTATCTTTACCATACTAGTGCAAATTCAAAGGCTTTACCATTTTGTGCATATAGGAATGACTCTGCACATTCATTTTTTTATTTTACCTATCTTAAAAAATTAAATTCAGTTAGCTCTCTATACAAAAAATAAACACACAAAAGTTAATGCAAACATATTAGCACCAGGACCAGTTACTTACCGTTTCCCACTGCAATTATCTTGGTTCAGTCCCCCAATTTGGTTCATTGCAGACCATGCTGTTAGACCGACATATGGTAAGGAGGCAGCTTCCATGTGACTGAGACACTTGGGCTTGTGAGAGATCTAAAGTAGAAGATCAGTCATGTCTAAATCACAATGAATAATATATTTGTGGACTACCAGGGTTGATAAAAATAAAGTTTTTAATATTGATTTCAATTTTAAAAAAATCATATTTGATTTAAGTTAAATACATTTTTCATTTAAAAAAAATAAACCACCTCTATAATCTATTAAAATCACTTAAATTAAATAAAAAATAATATTAAGCAGTAAATGTTTGCTGCAAAACTTTTAAAGAGAGTCATACTACTGAACTGGAGGAAGTCACTGGCTAAGAACCTGGAACTAGAGCAGGGGTTCTCAAACTTTATTGCACCACGACCCCCTTCTGACAAAAAAAAATTACTACCCAACACCAGGAGCGGGGACTAAAGCCTGAGGCCTCCCACCCCAGGTGGGGGGGCCAAAACCAAAGCCCAAGGGCTTCAGCACCAGGCTGGGGCCTGTAACCTGAGCCCTGCCACCCAGGGCTCACACCCTCAGGCTTCAGCTTTGGCCCCGGGCAGTGGGGCTCGGGTTTTGGCTTTGGCCCCGGGCCCCAGCAAGTCTAACACCAGCCCTGGCAATGCCATTAAAACGGGGTCACGACCCACTTTGGGGTCCCAACCCACAGTTTGAGAACCGCTGAACTAGAGTTTGCTAAGCTACTAACCCAGCTTTTGACAGCAAGAGCATTGACTGCAGGTGCTGAGAGAATATTTTCTTAATTTCAGTTTACTGAACTAGTTCAGTACAATGGCTAATTCATTCAAAGTTAAGAAAACAGCTGGCAGCTGAAAACAGTGGGAAAGCTTGTTTTCCTCTTCCAATCTATGAATAAAAACTAAGTGTGAGTGGATGAGATCTTCTAGTTCTAGAATCTTGAAGGACATGGTGACCAGAAACAATCCATTCAATTCACTAACAACTTTGTTTAATAAATCAGTTTATTAAAACATGTTCTGCATTTGAAATTAACTTTTTTTCTTATGTATTCAGCATATATAAGGTAGTTTTATTTAACTACTAAAAAAATTAATGCTGATTTTGTGCATTTTTCACTAGACTCTAGTTTCCATGCAAATAGAGCTTGACACAAATCATAAGTAAAAGATGAATCATGTACTAAATAAGAAATGTATGATTCACATTTGCTAAAATAAAATGTAACAAATTTAGAATCTGAATACAATTTAAACAAATATATAGCATAACATACATGTGTATAGTTTATTCTCCTAATGTGTAACAAAAAATAGTACCACTGACACTGCACCCCATATTCTTCATAGAGCTATTATGATATATATATGATATGATTATGGCATAATTATGATGTATTTTTATGCAAGATAAGTCATGTGAGATATCATTGAAAAGATTATGATTTCCTGATATGATTATCCTATTTTTATGTATGTATCACTTTTGTATCTGAGGTTAGGAATATTGACTATGTATCTGTATTACAAATGTGTTTACACCTGGCGAATGCTCACTAGACAAGATGCTTTCATTCTGAAAAGCTGGGTGGGGAAGGGCCATTAGAGAAAACAATAGGCCTTAGAAGAAGCTTATCTCCCACTTGGGGGCATTCCTGAGGACACTGCAGACAGCCTCAGAGTCAAGGCTGCTGTGACACTACTGGGACATGTGACCAGGTCACCTGCTGCTGGACTCCATCTTGGTATATCAGTATTTTTCCACTGACTGGCGTGGGAACCAAGCTTTGAAACAAAGGGTTCCCGCCATATTCAAAAGCTATATAAGGTAGGGGAGTGACATCATCTTGGTTTTTCACTGGAGAGAGCTTGTCACAGCAATACTGTCTAAAGGAAGCCCAGGCTGGTGGGTCGGGGGGGGGCTCAGTGGTACCCCAGCTCCAGGTGGCACCCCGGAGGGAACCCGTCACAACCACATTTACTATAAAGTCTATGTTTAGTTGTGAATCCACAAGTTTTAATGGTTACCAATCAGTGAGAATCAACCTTCCTTTAGGAAAATAACTAAAAAAGATAAATATAAAACAAGATTAAAATCAATTATTATTTACATCAAGGTTTCCTGCCTGCTAATTTAAATTACAATTAAATCACTGATTTAACTCAACCCACCAAGTGGACTACACAAGGCTTCAAATTAAACAAGCTATACTAAACCTCAGCTGTTGAATTTTCCATGTTTCAAAATATCTTGACTACATAAGTAGAAAAATATTTTTTTTAAAAAAATCTATAAAATTTAAAAACTGTGAAAAAGCAATTTACATAGATTTTGGAAGAAACAGAGTCTGCTGAAATTTTTGTTTTTATATTGAAATTTTGGTATGGTTACCTCATTTCCACTAGCTACAACAAACTCTGATATAGTGCCTTGTTTCCAGGGAGGAATTGCTGCCCATACCTAAAACCAAAGGGAAAACACATTTCAACTTTTATTATTTTCTTAATATTGTATCTATATCATAGAAAAGTCATTTTCCAACCTCCAGAACAACTTCAGTGTAGCATAAGTAGAGATTAATTATACAGAATATCAGTTTCACTAGATCTAAATTCACTATAAAAAGATTTCATTTACTCTCTTAAAACAAACTACAGAAGAATGATTAATAGAAGCATGGATGGGCCATATAACTAAGATGGATTGTACTGTGTATAATATAAACTTTTGGAGAAAGCAGATTACATTAAACAGTTCATATCTTACTGGAAGGCCATGAGCTGGTACAATACCTGAGAGAGAAAAACATTCCTCCAGTAAAACTGAAAAAAGTTAAAAGCAAGTCTTATAAGGATTTGTATGGGGCTCAGAAATTTGCTGGCTCTTCAACTATGTCATAGTTTTTGGTATTATAAGGTAATAAAGGTTTACTCAAGAGAAATTTCCTGTTAAAATTCTAGTTTCAATCAAGATGAAGCAGCTTCAGGTGTTTTGTTTTTTTAATATAAGAAACCCCCACCTCAGGATTTTAACATATGCAAATTCAATGGACCCTAAATATAAACGAATGGGGGTAACTAGCCCATATGAATATTTTGCAGGAAAAAACAAGTAAAAGTTCAAAAAAAGTTACTGCAACCCAGTTTTTATGTAGGCTGCAGGTAGGCAAGAAAAAATAGTTATTTGCAAAGACAAAGAAAAAAATTGACTTCATATTACATTTTCAACATACATAAAGTTAGAAAAATGAGACAAGTTACATCACCTCATCTCCAGGTTTGAAATAGGACACATTTAGCCCACATTCCATAATTACACCAGATACATCTCGACCAAGTGTTAGAGGAAATTCACTCCCGGTGCTTTTCAATTTCAGTGGATCACGTTTCATATTTAAAGCAGCTACTCCATAACCATCTATAAAACATGGTTTAACAGAGTAGGAAATATCAATGATTATTTTTATAGAACTGCACAAATTGGACAGTGAGCAAGGTTTATAGTCTGTGCATAATGCAACTTTACACCCCTGAAATTTGATTTTTTATAGTTCTGAAAATGTTATCTCTAAAGAACTAGAACCAAGCAGAACATTATTTTATGTTTTAAAAAAGCTTATACAACTAAGTATCAACAAGTCTTGCAATATTTCTTCTTATGTCCCGTTTGGTGCACAATACATATAAAAAATATTAAATATCATAAAACCAGCTAGCTACTTATAACATGATATTAGACATCACACTGACAGACATTTATTTCACGATAAGAACAATTAATCATTTCATGTGTGACAACTATCTCAAAGATGTCTAATTTATTTTTGATAGGTACATGAGCATTGACAGGGCCAATTCTGCAATCATTAATCCCACAAATGATCCCACTGGCTTCAGTAGGCCTCCTCAGATGAGTATGGGTTGCATGATTGGACAAACAATCCTATAACAAACAACCTGCAATGTTTTGAGTAGTTTTGGCCCCAGAATACAAACTAAGGCCTCAGTCTCACAAGGAGCTTCGTGCAGGCAGATCCCTGATCCATCCAGAATTCTGTGTAGGCTCAGGAGTCTGCTAAGATGGAGCTCATTGCAGGATCAGGGCTTTTTAAGAGCATTAAATTGCAAGTACCATATATACTCATTCATAAGCCACATATTTTTGGTAAAAATGTGACGCATCAAAGAGCAGGGGTCGGCTTATAAACGGGTCTACACCAAAATTTGATGATTTTAAACTCTATGGAATCATTGAATTGAATATCTAATACATTGTCGTTTTGTTTACCTGGAGCGTCTGCAGGCATGGAGTCCCTTGGCTCCCTGTGGCCACGGCTCGCCATTCCCAGCCAATGGGAGCTGCGGGAAGTGGCGCGCCACTACCCGCAGCTCCCATTGGCTGGGAACCGCGAACCACGGCCACAGGGAGCTGAGGGGCTTCACGCCTGCAGACGCTCCAAGTAAACAAAACGTCCCAACCCGCCAGCGGCTTACCCTGACGAGCCGGGAGCCAAAGTTTTCCAACCCCTGAAATATAGGGTCGGCCTATGAAAGCGTCATACAGTTTTTGCTATTTTTACTTATCCTTTTTTGGGGGGGGTCAGCTTATAAACGAACGTGCTAATAAACGAGTATATACGGTAATTGCTTTATCATTGAAATTTTAAGCTCAGTTGTTTAAAAAAATAGAAAGTTCTTTCAATTTTCATCTAAGGCCAATATCAAAATTTGAAATGCAAGATCGCATCTTGCTGTGAATAAACAGTGAAATATAAGATTTTCTGTTATTTTAAGTTTTTGTTAAGATTTCTGAGCCTGCTATTGAGAAAAATTGTCTGACTAGAAAAACATCAAATGGCAATGATCAATCAGTTAAATGTACTGATTGGCCAAAGCCTTGAATTCAGTGGACAGCAGACCTGAAAAAGAGCCGTGTAAGGTCAAAAGCTTGTCTCTCTCACAAACAGAAGTTGGTCCAATAAAAGTAGCCACTGAGGCACCTATGCAACAGGAAGTTAGGACAAAGATGAGAAATAAACATTTTTGGGAATTAATTCTATGAGCCAACTGTCATGGGAGTTGAGGAAGCTCAGTGCAGGCCTGGGCCCTTGCACAATAGGAACCAAACTAACAGAAGAAGAAAAACACTTTAAAATTGGGTTGCAAGTTGATTCTCATTCTGATCATGAGTTTTAAGTCTGTGAAGGGCAGCAACCAGCTGCTTGTATTACTTGGGCTACAACCCAGCCTAGTTTTGCTTTGGTAGATGCAGAACTATAGTCTAAAATTCACCACTCTCCCCTGACAATTTAACAGAAAAAAAGTTTTGCAAGAGTATTTTCCCACAATAATCATGGAATATCTTTCCAAACCGCCCTGTTTAAAAACTATTGGAGCCACAGGCACATTTTGGACTATTATTTACAACAACAATTTAATAAGAATAATACAGGTATAATAAAATTATATTTACAGTATGAACCATGTTATGTTAAGAACTTAATCAACACTAAAATACACAAAAATATAATAATTCCTACTCAAAATAAATCACTTACTTCTCATATTAACATCTATAGGGTTTAAACTTGCAGCATGGACTTTAATAATGACTTCATTTGGAAAATGTATTACAGGGAACGTCATGTTATTTGTAAATCGTAGCACATCATTTCGCCCATATCTATCTATTATCCACGATGCCATAACTGTATATCTCTGACAGGAGAGGCTGATATTTCTACATAGACGGGGCTTGATTAAACTTTTGCCTCTTCTAAGGCAAGTTGCCATGGAACCTTGACTGAAAAGCAAGCCACTGTATGCTCTCCTACTAAGCAGATGCATCTTTAAATACATTATTGCCAACGCATAAGGTGGGATCTTTAATGACTCTAGCTACTATTCTAGATGTGTAAAAATAATTACATGCTGGCCACACTAATGCTTCCCATCTGCACAGAGATAATTTTTTAGCCAATCAAACCCATGTATGTTTGCCAACTTCAATTTTTTAAAATCTTTTCCTATTACTCTAATTCTTCTTTTACAACCATATAGGGGAGGGGCGTGTCTACATTCAACTTTTAACTACAAGACTCACAGGTTTTGGGGTGTGAACGAGGGGAACTAAACAAACTGGCTTTTCCCCACGAGCATCACAGCCCCCAGAGAATCCCTAGTTTGAAAGCGTGGAGGGGGGATCCCCCAAACGCGTTATAACTCACCAAATCCCAGTGCCCCCTCCCCAATCAGCTCAGCCTCCACCCACAAGACCCCGCCCCCCCCTCAAAGTGAGACAGCCCCCGCCTCGCTCTCCCCCTTCCTTGCCCTTGCCCCCAGGGCCAGCGCGTCCCCCCTCAGTGAGTCCCCGTCTGGCCTGAATCTCCTCCGCTCAGCGCGCACTGGCTGAGGGTCACTCTCCGCCAGGCCACGCTCACTCATCCCACCTCAGCCAATAGCGACCCGGCATCATGCCAGTCTACGAAGACTCGAGCCAATGGAGCCGCTCCATGTTGAGCGGTGCAGCCCAAGATGGCCGCGCCCATGCCCGGCCGAGCCGCGACTGACGCTCTGGCTGTGACCGTGCGGGATCCCCGGCCGGGGCGAGTGATGCCGCGGAGAGGATGTTGCGCGTCTCCCTCAGAGAAGTGAGCGGCCTTCCCCTCCGCCCCCCGGTGTTGCTCGGGGGCTCCCGCCTATGGGGACGGGGTGGAAGCGGAACCCCAAACTATGCGTGCACCAGCTGCCTGGAGCCCGGCCCGTTCCCAGCCCGCGCCGTGGTATCGGGGTCCCCGGTGTGCGCGGTGTAACTTCCCACCCCGCGCCCGACCCGGCTTTGCCCACGCGAGGCTCCCGCCCTTCGCCCCCCAACCCCTGTTGGCGGCGGCGCAAAGGCCAGGAGGGCGGCGGAGTGTGTTAACCCTGCAAGAGCAAGAAGTGGTGCAGCCGGCAGCGAGAAGGAGACGCGCTTTGGCACTCGCGCAGCACCGTGCACGCTCAGCCCTGCGTCTGGCACTGCGGCCCAGCTGGGAGCGGGGGGAGGCGTTGACAGGACACATAGCAAGCAGCGCTCTTAATAAAAACCTCCTCTCCAAGGGTTGTCTAGACTGCAGCGCATTACCCATGAGCTAGTGACCATACAGCAATTGTGAAAAATCTGGACGGGTGGAGGGTGGGTTATAGGGTCCCATATAAAACAGAGCCCCTAATATCGGGTCGTCTGGTCACCTTAACTGAATACAGCCTGGTTAAAATCCTAATCCTTTTTGGATTATTATTTGTGTGTGTTTAACTCAGGGGTGGGCAAACTTTTTGGCCTGAGGGCCACATCGGGGAATAGAAACTCTATTGAGGGCCATGAATGCTCACCAAATTGGGGTTGGGGTGTGGGAGGGGGTGAGGGCTCGAGTTGGGGGTGTGGGCTCTGGGGTGGAGCTGGGGATGAGAGGTTTGGGGTGCAGGAGGGTACTCTGTGCTGGGATTGAGGGGTTTGGAGAGAGGGAGGGGGATCAGGGCTGTGGCATGGGGAGAGGTTCAGGGGTGCAGGCTCTGAGCAGTGCTTACCTTGAGCGGCTCCTGGAAGCAGTGGCATGGTGCGACCACAGCTTCCAGGAGCTGTGTGGTGTGGCCCCCAGCTGGAGCGCCGGAGCGGGGTGGAGCCGCATGGTGCGGCCCCCAACCCAGTGCCCTGGCTGGAGCTCACAAGCCAGTTTAAAACGGCTCACAGGCTGAGGGCTGTTGTTTGCCCACCCCGGTTTAACTGATTAAGAGGGAGATGGTGCTATTGGGAACAAGGCTTTGGCTGGTGAGTTTTCTCACCAGCCAAAACCAAGTTAACTAAGGCCCTACGCACAGTAGGGCTTTGTAGCTGTGTTTAAAACCACCTTTAATCATAATTATGCTGCGAAACTTGTATTTGCATACACAATAACCAGTTACAAATGATGGGCCTGATCCTGTAAACAGTGGTACACATGATGGATGTCATTGAGACTCCTCATCTGCATAAAAGTTTGAAGGACTGGGTTCCATGTTCCCACTGTATTTAGAAATTGCTTAGGACATGACCAGAATAGCACTGGCATTGCTGGTTGAGGCTGAAATGCTTTGAAAGTGTTGTATGTGAAAGTTGACAGAGTGCTTTCTTAGCTAATGCTTTTATTCCATCATAAAAATACTACATGTATCAAATTTATCCCCAAAATTAAGGGTGGAGGGAGGGAAGGAATTAGTTTTAGAAACTTGACTGAAACAATTCTTGCAAGTCATACCAATATTTGTAACTAGGGACTTGCGATTTAAAAATGGAAACTGTCCTTTCAGATCTCTGCAGCACTGAAAGAAGGCCGAGTGAGTCCAACAGAGCTTTGTCAAAGATGTCTCTCCTTTATCAAAGCTACAAAATTTCTCAATGCTTACATTACTATAGCAGAAGACACAGCATTAAAACAGGCTGAAGAATCAGAGGAGAGATATAGGAGAGGTAAGTAACCCTAGATTTGTAGTTAATAGCTGTTCTTCCATAAATTTTTTTGACTGTAGTGGATGGAACCTTTGTTAGACTCAGTAACTTTAAAAAAAGAAAGTGAAGTCTACTGTTCATTTGATTTGCTTGTATGGAACAACAATAGGACCTATTGAGACTAAAGGCTCTGTGGACATATACTGATTGCACTCAAGGTAATCACCATTTACAAAAGATGGGGAATGAGCGGGTGGGGGGCAGGAGAAGAATTTCAACCTGGTAGATCTGCTCTTCTGTCTAACTAACATCGCGTTGCTTAAGCAAAATGCCAGTTAGGATAATTCAGCTTCAAGGCATTTATTCCCTTTGAGATTCTTCTCTGGATAACTAATAGTCAGCTATGAAAGACTTTGTCCAAGGCAGAATCTATGACTCCTGGCTTGGGAATGGAGTAGATTTAAGTAGCTGTCTAAGGATGAAATAAGCATTACATGGCCACAACTGAGGTGGTAAGCATCTTTTGGAATAATTTACCTAGTTTGGAAGCCACTTCCTTAGTTGCAGAGACTATGCAGTATGGGAGGAAATCTGGCCTGAACAAAGTCCTTAATGTTAGAGTTGAAAACAAAAGACCTTTTGTGAAAATATCAGGGCTTTGGAGCGGAGCCCAGAGCTGGAGCGGAGCCAGAGCACAGCTCCAAAGCCCTGGAAAATATAACTTAAAAGCATTTGAGTACAACTCCTACTTCCAAGTTAGAGTGAAGCTGAAGAGTAAAATAAAATGTCATTGCTAAGCAACGTAGACAGTCTGTTTTAATACTTAAATTTTACTCTGTTGTCCTTGTACCAATTCCTAACACAGGTCAGATACTGGGGGATTTAGATGGAATTCCTGTTGCAGTAAAAGACAACTTCAACACAGCTGGTATTGAAACAACATGTGCATCAAACATGCTGAAAGGTAAAGTAGTGCGTTGTAGGCAAAACAAACACCATTTTGAAGCTCTGGTCCTTTTCTCTAAAGCAGCACAGCCTACTTAAAACCTAGTCATTTTCAAAAAATGAATTAAAGTACTTTCAGGCACTACACTTCCTTTGCCACCATCTGCCAAATTTTTGTGGCTTTTGCAGTCATATATTTAAAAACTATTAATATTGTAACAATGTAAATAAATGAGACAATGCAATATTAATTATAATCAATACATTAAAATGTAACTATTCTATCAACAGGTTACATTTTGCTCTGTTACTGGAGAGTAGTCAGTGTTGGTTTTTTTGCAAAAAGAACAGGAGTACTTGTGGCACCTTAGAGACTAACAAATTTATTTCAGCATAAGCTTTCGTGGGCTACAGCTCACTTCTTCAGATGCCTAGAGTGGAACACACAGACAGAAGATATTTATACATACAGAGAACATGAAAAAATTCAATTAGTGTAATGACCCAACCATTTTTTTTGTTGCAAAACTGACACAAAACTTCAAAAACAGACTCCAAAGAGAGACTGCTGAACTCGAATTAATATGCAAATTAGACACAATTAACTTAGGTCTAAACAGAGACTGGGAATGGTTGGGTCATTACACTAATTGAATTTTCCCCCCCTCCCCCCATGTTAAGTTCTCCTCACACCTTCTATGGGTCATCTGGATTACACTTCAAAGTTTTTTCTTCTGCTGCTACTGATAGCTCATCTCAATTGATTGGCCTCTTACAATTGGTATGCGTACTTCCATCTTTTCATGTTCTCTGTATGTATAAATATCTTCTGTCTGTGTGTTCCACTCTATGCATCTGAAGATGTGAGCTGTAGCCCACGAAAGCTTATGCTGAAATAAATTTGTTAGTCTCTAAGGTGCCACAAGTACTCCTGTTCTTTTTGCGGATACAGACTAACACGGCTGCTACTTTGAAACCAGTGTTTTTTTTATTTCTGTTTGTTAAATCATCTTTCTATATAGCAAAATGCAAACACAGTTTCTGTTGTGTTCGTAGAGACTTGGTCCTAGTTCTTGAGTTCAACAGTTGTCTTTCATATCGATGTGAGTCATCAGTTCCAATTCTGCTCTCTGGATTTTTGTTTTATAAAAAGATTATTTTTTTCTTTTGAATACCCATAGTTCATTGTTTCACTTAGCAGTTCCATTATACGTCCATAGCATTGTTTTATTAATAAAAGCACTATTATTTTCCTATTTGAAAAAAATTCACTCATGTTGCTGTGTAATAGACCACCACAAACAGGGAACATTAACTAATGAGGGTAAAGAGCGAAATTGATGATACAAAAAAGTGCTGACAAATACCAAAGTAAACAAACTGAAAAAATTGGGGGGAAATCCTACTAATTTATTTCAATTTGTTATTGTGTTACTTGTAACAATGAAAGGGAAAAAATTGACTATACGTGTTGAACAGCAAAGGTCAATTTATCTCAAATTACCTTTTCCTCTGCATGCCAGCAAAGCAGTTGTGATTGACAGGGATAGCGTGGGTGAGAGTCTTGAGGGTGAAACTCTAATATAGGCTCTAACACAGTGGTGGGCAACCTGCGGGCCTCACGCGGCCTGTCAGGGGAAGCCACTGGCAGGCCGCCAGACCGCAGCTCCCAGTGGCCGCCTTTCGCCGTTCCCAGCCACTGGGAGCTGAAGGTGGCCGTGCAAATGTAAACAAACGGTCTGGCGGCCCACCAGCAGATTACCCTGACAGGCTGCAGGTTGCCCACCACTGCTCTAACATCTTTCTCAGAAAAAGATATCTGCATCAGTATTGGTCAGAGAAACTGTTAGAA